AAGGAGGCACAAGCACAGCTCAGAGTCCCCAGGGAAAGACAAAGGGCGGCTGTCCAAGCTCAAGCCTGCTCCACCACCTCCACCTGCCTCCACAGGAAAAGCAGGAAAGCCTGCACAGAGCCCCAGCCAAGAAGTGGCCGGGGAGGCAGGTGGGGCCACAAAGACAAAGTGCCCAAGTCTGGCCGTGGATGCTGTGAACAATGACCCCACCAAGGCTGGTCAGCCTGGAGAAGGACTGAGAAAGCCTGTGCCCCCATCTGTGCCAAAGCCCCAGACTACTAAGCCTCCCGGGACCCCCACCAGCCCGATCTCCACCCCCTCCACAGCGCCATCACCTTCACCCCTGGCTGGGGACCAGCAGCTGTCTTCTGCCGCCTTCATCCCCCTCATATCAACCCGTGTGTCTCTTCGAAAGACCCGCCAGCCGCCAGAGCGCATCGCCAGTGGCACCATCACCAAGAGTGTGGTTCTGGACAGTACTGAGGCCCTGTGCCTTGCCATCTCCCGGAACTCAGAGCAGATGGCTAGCCACAGTGCTGTGCTGGAGGCTGGCAAGAACCTGTACACTTTCTGTGTGAGCTATGTGGACTCTATCCAGCAGATGAGGAACAAGTTTGCCTTCCGTGAGGCTATCAACAAGCTGGAGAGCAACCTCCGAGAGCTGCAGATCTGCCCTGCAACAGCCCCCAGCGGGCCAGCCGCCACACAAGACTTCAGCAAGCTGCTTAGCTCTGTAAAGGAGATCAGCGACATTGTCCGGAGGTAGCAGCGACCAGTGTGTCAGCGAGAGAGGCTGCAGTCCATAGGGCTTTCGTGCCTATAAAGACGGGGACAGAGGACTGGGGAGCTGGCATCTTTTCCCAGGAGCTTTACAGAGCATCAAGCAGAGCCAGGGCCTGATGGAGTTGACCCTTCCTCCTACGTTGTGCACCAGCTGCCCTGCACCTTTCCTGCCCAACACAGGTGCCTCAAGCCACCTCTCCTCACTGCTGTGGTGGGCCTCCTGCTCTGAAGACTTCAGCTGGCCTGCCTGGCCACCAGGTTCTTCAGTCTCTGGTGCCTCAGACGTAGCTCCCAGGTCAGCCGAGAGTGCCCATTCCCTGTCCTCGCAGGAGAACGACCTCCTCTGATGGACCTTCTTGTCACCAAGGCATGAGAGCCCCTGTGCTTGCTGTCCCTGAACAAACTGTCTCAGAGAGCCTGTGTTCACTGCTTTCCATGCGAAGGAGGCTGTTGCTTTAAGGGTCATGAGGTGCTAAAGCCAGAGGCCCAGAGGGGTGGGTACTGGAAACAGGAGCTGGGCGGTGTGGCCTGTCACCTGCTCTCAATGTCCTCAGCAGGGCCCTGCAGATCCTGGACAGCAAGCTTGGGTTTCATGGGTGGCAGTCACTGGCTGGCCAGGCACATAACCAGGCCAAGCCTAGGGCTCCAGGGACTCCCCAAAATCTGAATTTCTGAGTAGTCTTTATTCCCTTTCCTGCTCTAAGGTCAGGCAGGCCCACCCTCTCTGGTCCTTGCCTTGATGACAAGGATCCAGCCTTCTAGTGTTTTTGAGCATTTCAAAGGTCGGCATGGAAAGGAACAGCCACTAGGTACAAACTGGCAGGAAGGACCACTGCCCCAGGGCTCTCCTGAGCTGACTGCTCCTCAGAACTGCTGCTTAACCACCGAGAACCATGCTTAGCCCAGAGCTCTTGGGAGGCATGCACAGCATGCTGGAGTTGGGTGTCCTTTGCAGACTTAGGCAGGGCATATCTTCCTTCCTAAGGCAGCCAGGACCAGAGCTGAGCACAGGGACAGGTGTGGGTGATTCCTTGACTCCCAGAGAAGCCATCTGAAGAACAGGGCGCCTGCCTTGGCTCTGAACTGACCAGAAGACACCTCCACACTCCCTGCTTCTCCGCTGCAGACATACTGCGCTGACCCGGGCCCACACTGGTCACCTGACGGGCCGAAAGAGATGATTTCCTCTGGATGGAAATCTCTGGATGGAAGGTCTTCCATAGCACATCACCTCCTTACCTCCAAAGGCTGTTCTGCAGCCCAAGGGAGGCCGTGCCACACTGCCAGCGACCTTGAAAGGCCAGACACCTCCATGCCCTGACACCGTGCTCACAAGGTCCTGCTCTGTTGCTGCCATGGGGTGCCACTATATTTTGTATTACACTTTGGTATTACACTCTTTTTTTTAAATAGACTTGAGCTCTTCTAAATGACATGTAAATAGTTCACCACTGTGCCCCTCTGGCACACCAACAGCATTCCCCTTTTCTCTCAGTCCAGTACATTTTGTTCCTGTACATGACTCTGGTTTTTGAATCCAAATCTCTCTGTAGTATTTTTTAAATAAATGTTTACAGAAGTATTGACAGACTGCTTGGTCTGTGATTCATCCCTGCAACCCCTCATGTCCCAAAGGGTCACAGCCTGTGTGTCCTGAGCACATAGTTGCCAGCTGCCTGGCTCTTGTCTGCCTCACAGCAGATGGCAGTGTCCTGTGTCAGGCCTGGAGTAGGAGCAGTAGCACCTGAGATTCTTGCTGGCAGAGAATTCCTCCCTGGCATCCTCTGCATGTGAACCGCCCAGTGCTCGCTCTCTCTCACACGTAGCTTCGGGTGCCAGCTGTTAGGCTTGAGTGGACAGTGAACAAGCCCCTCCTCCAGCAGGCTCTGGGAGGGTTGTGCTTTAGTCACTGACACCCATGGCAAGGATGCCAGGGCTACAGGCTGTGGTGCCTTGCCACTCTGCCAACTCTGCCTCCCCTGCCCAGTGGAAGGCAGGATGACTTCATCATCACAGACGTTGAAGTGGGTTGGGGTTGCCCAGTGAATCTAGACACTGGCCCTCCAGTGGTTTTCTCTAGCCAATAGGGTCATCCTTAAGTGGCTACTTTGTCTAACAGGAGCAGCAGGAGGTTCCAGGGACAGCCACCACTTGTGCTTATGTGTGTGACATGGGCCCGAGGGAGCTCCCCATGGCCTCAGGCAAGTACTGTTTGCCTATTTCCTCTGTTTCTTGTAAGGGCACAGGAGTGAGACCTGTCACCTCGGCCCAAGCATAAAATACTTCCTGTCTCCCAAATAAGGTCCTGATGTGTCACCAGAAACTAAGTTTGTTATTTCTAAGACTGTCTTTTTTGTCAGACATGGTGGTGCCCCCATGTAGGCAGGTGGCCTGGCCCACAGAGCAAGCTCCAGGGCAGTCAGGGCTACACAGAGAAACCCTGGCTTAAAACAACAATGAAAAGACTGACTTTCTTGACCTTAGATCATAGCTGCTCCCTAGAATCTAGTAGCTGTGGGTTGCCCAAAGAGACACACCCCACACATACCCATTCTGAGGGGCCATTGAGATGGCTCAGTGCCCAGAGCACCTGCTGACAGGTTGATTGGGTTCAATGTCTGGGACCCATATGGTGGAAGAAGAGAACCAACTACCACGGACCTCTGACTTCCATGTGTACACCGTGGTGCGTGTATATGTACACAGAGGAAAGAAGAAATGATAGCTGGGTCTGCTCTGTGTCACCACGTGGGATGCTTGCACCGCCCCGGTCTTGTATTGTCCAGGCTCAAAGAGGTGAAGCCACTTAGTGGCTTAGCCAAGGCGTTTGTAGACAATGCAGATAGCTACACCCTGCCCAGTGGAAGCACCCTCCAGGATGGGCTTTATAATGGTTGGACTGGCTGCCTTGACCACACAGGGGCACCAGGTTCTGGGAAACACACACACACACTTTCTCTCTCTCTCTCTCTCTCTCTCTCTCTCCCACCTCTGCACACCGTGAGGGGGAGGGGGTTGTCACCAGTATATTTTTTGAGAGATTCTCATTGAACCAAAAACTCACCTATCAGCTAAGCTAACTGGCCAATGAGCTCCAGGAATCTACCTGTCTCCACTTCGGCCACTCCCGTCTACCCCACCCATCCTCAACAGGAGCTGGGATGACAGGCTTGTGTCTCGCCTCTATATAGGTGCTGTAGCTCTGGATTCAGCTCCCCATGGCAAGCTCTTTACAGAGCTATGGTCCTCGGCCCCCTGGGAAGTCATTTCTAAGTCTGGTCTTGCATAGATGACATTAAGTGGCCAGGAAACAAATGCCCCACCCCCACCTTATCTGCCTTCCTCCCTGTTAGCCGCTTAACCTCTTGGCTGGGACTCTGTTCCAGCTGATGTCAATTCTGCAATGGAGACACCTTTGAGATTCTGTTCCCCAGGGGCTTTGAGACTTGTGCCTGTAGACCATGAGCACAGGGTGACCAGGAACTCATCAGGGTTGGGGGCTGTGGGTCTCCTGTGCTGTCTTTGGTATTGGAGCAAGAGCGGATGAGCAGCTAGCTGTCCTGGGCCTGTCTTTTTCTTCTTCCTTAAGCGTTTAATTACTACTTTAAACACAGGAAGATTGGACAGACCTATCTTAGCAGCTAATAACCTGTAGGTGTACATACCACGGGGAAGATTTGCCTTTTTCTTTTCTTTTTTCTTTTTTCTTTTTTTCTTTTTTGTTCTTTGAAACAGAGACTCATTAGTCCAGACTGGCCTCCATCTCGCTGTGGAACCAAAGCTGGCCTTGAACTTCTGATCCTCCTGCTTCAGCCTCCTGAGGATGAGGGATTACAGGCCTGCACCACTATGCCTGCCTCTTGCTTTTGTCTTGAGTAAATACAGGGAGGAGCTACAGATAGCTTCTGGTTGAGAGCAGGAGATGCCAGGGCAGCCAGGAGAGTGTCCTGGGGCTGAGTCTACCCCAAGGTGGTTGGTTCTCAGAGCCTCCCCTTTCCCAGTCTGGAGAGAAATGATTTTTCTAGTTCCCAAGAGGACAGTCGAGGGCCTAGACCCTGCCAGAGCGTGGGAAACTTGGGGGCAGGGGGTTAAAGAGGGAGCTTAGCGCCATGTAGGCGAGCTGGTTTAGCAGATCAATGCTTTAGCAGCCTGACTGTTCTGATTTTCAGGGCTATTGAGCTCCAATGTACAAGCAAACTGGAAAAAATAGCTTTGTTGGTTCTCTTTTAATGATTAAAGGTAATGACAGCAGATGCGTTCCTTTGAAGGCTTCCCCTTCATCCCAGCCCTCTCCGTCGAGGTTAATCTAATCCTGCTAAATTAAGAACCTGCCAGGCTCGGGTGCAGCTCAGTGCTAGAGCACTTGTCTAGCATGCGCGAGGGCCTGAGCTGGAACCTCAGCATCACAAAAGAAAAAATTCAAACTGAGCCCTACCTACCCACAGAGTGAGGGACGGTGTGCAGCCTCGGCCTTATGGGTGAAGCAAGGCACCAGGGCCCTGTCTCCAGAGTGCCGTTCTGCCCTGGCTTGTGGTCTTGTCTGTCTCAGACTGTCCTGTACATGAATGAATGAGCCAGGATACTGCCCCACGGAAGCAGGATGGGCATCCCTGGCTGGTGAGGGAGCTGGGTGGAACCACAGCCACCTCTTCGTGTTCACATATGACCCGTGTTCTCAGACACTGACCCAGAGAGTGTGGTGGTGCCCACGATGTCCACACTAGAGAGGAGCAGTAGCATCCCTTTGCTGGACACACCCTCCATCACATCTTCCTGAGATGGAAGGGAAGGCAGAGTTATGTGCCTTATGGTCCTAGTGCACTTGTCTTGTCCCTGTGACTGTAGCCCAGGACCCATGTGCAATGCCCCGGGGGAGCCCAAGGTGGCTCTGGGGGAAGGCAGTGTACCACGGCGTCAGGTGTTTGGCTCTGCACCCCCCCCACCCCCCCCCACCCCCGCTCACCTCACCTCCCAGCCCTCTCCCCAGTCAACATGGTTCTTTTGTGGCTCTGATCTGTCAACCTTAATGAAGTGGCTTCCTGGCTGCCGAGGACTGAAAGCTGCTACTGAGGACGTAAGTCACTAATAGAATGGAAAACACCGGAATACTGTGAGGTGCCAAGCTGGGCCTGGCCCAGTGTGGTTCTAAAAGGCTAATAAAAATCCACCAATTAATTGTGACAGCTCAATGGAAAATTATTCAATTGTGAACGGGGGCAAGTCGCTACTCACAAGGAGGAGGGGAGATGTTGCCATAGAAACATCAATATAAGTTCTCATCTCAGCAGTCACAGCCAGCCCTGGAGTGAGCTGCTTCTGACGGCTGTGTGTGACCTGGGATGGGATGCAGGAGGCTCAGCAGCCTTTGAAAGGGATGCTGTGCTTGGCCCCAGACCTGCACACAGCCCAGACCGAGCCTGTCCCCCCTACACATACCTCCCCTCGCTTCCCCCAGGTGGAAATGTCGGTTTGTTTGGTTTTTTTTTTCCCCTCACACTCATTCTGAGAAACATAGGGAAGAGGGAAGTGGAGAGGGAAACAGCCTGTGCCTTCTCTCCCTGTACCTTCGCCCAGCTGCCAATTAAGGGGCTGCTGGGAGAGGTGTACAGGGTACAGCCAGCCTGATTTCCATTTCCCCAAAGTGAAGGCTTCAGGAACTCGAGAAAAGAAGTTTCTGGGGCCCAGAGGACCTGGAAAGAGGAGGCCAGCATGCCATTATGATGCTCAGTTGTTACAACTTTTATTTCAAAAGATACACATGACAATTCCTAGTTTGGGCATTTGAAACTCTACCTTGCTTAGCACAAAAACAAAACAAAACAAAACAAAAAAATCCCACCCATTCGGAGTTTAGGTCCCATGAGGCCCTTAGGTTGGCTAACACTACCATGGACAGGAGGTGAGGGCAGCCAGAGGGGATGCACAGGCCATTCAGTGGGCAGCACGGTGCTCCGACGGGCTTTCTTGCCAGAGGCATCTTGTGCTAATGGGATGGAGAACACACTGACTGTTTGGGGTTTGTTTGTGTCTGGGTTATTTTCTTCCCCTTCATTTCTAACTTTCAGATTCACATTCTATACACTGCGGAGTACGCTCTTTCACAGTGGCCCTTTAGATGTCAGTACCGGCATCCCTTTGGGGACTGTCAGAACTTTGATTTCCTGCTGTAATCTCTCAGTCCACCTACCAACAAATGAACAACAGAGCCAGAGGCCTGTTGTATCCACGGCCCCATCACAGCCTCAATGCCCTGCCACTGGGGATCAGGGGCTACTCCAGCCACTGGGGGACGACAGAGCTGAGACAGACAGCAGCCCAAGTCATGGGCTGGGACAAGGACACATTATCTTATTAACCAAGACATACTCAGTCCTCCTGTGTGCAGGGATTTTATGGGAGTGTGGAGGGGCGGGGTTGATTGTTCATTTTGGGTTTTTTTTTTTGTTATTGTTTTTTGAACACCACCCAGATTTTTCACTTTATCAAAGTTGGAAATGAAAAAATGGTGCACACCTATTCAGCACTAGTTCACTGTGATACTCTCTCCAGGTCCAGGTTCTTCAAGATGGGGCCAGGACAAGAGTAGACAGACAGGGCAGAGTCCACGCAGGCCCTCACCGGCCAAAGCGGAAGCTAAAGCCTCCCTTCCTCCTGCTGTAGCTGCTCAGCTCCTCTGCCAGAGTCCCCAGGGGGCTGCTGGCCTTCTCTGAGTCAGTGGGCAGGAACCCCTCGGCCTCACTGCTACCGTAGTCCTGCCTCCCTAGACGGAAGCCGGTGTGTTCCCTGCGTGAGGCCTGCTGCTCTTTGGCCACCACAAGCAGGGCCTGTGGCTGGGGACTTTGAACTGAGTGGGGTGTGTGTCCCTCAGCCAGCTGGGCCCAGCTCATCCTGGCTTCGATGTCACCGGTGTCTGGGGGTCCCCTTCTGTCCAGCAGGGGAAAGCAGACACTCAGAGGCAGGAGAAGGCAGAGCAAAGAGCGGAGGCTCCTCATCTGAGCGAGGAAGGAGAGAGAGGAGGGGGTTAGTGGCCAGGATTTTGGCCACATGCGATCCCTGGCCCCAGGCTTCCCAAGGTCTGGGCAGCCTTTGGAGGGATAGTTGCTGGCTGCGCTTAGCCTGGTTCCCTAGCAGCCAGGACACCAGACTGTCTTAGCCACCACAGGAGCTGGCTGTACCAATTAGGCTGATTCCAATTCACCTGCAGTCAGGGAGCTGCCTACCTTGGTGGCTCAGTACTAGAATGCCAGGGCTGCCAGCTGACTTGCAGAGGTACCCGGGTGGCTCTTGGGGCTGTGTGCATTTGGGTTCAATTTTCTATTATAATTATTGACTCTTGGGCCGTGGGCAGAGTGAGCTGCCGCCGTGTTTTTCAACTTGATAATGAAGTGGTCTAGCAGCTCTGCTGGAAAACCCCACTGTCTCCCTAACTCAGGAACAAGTTGCTCTTGGGAGGGGGAATTGGGTCTGGTGGCCCTTGGGTAAGTCAGACACCTACCTGGGGGCGGGGGGAGCTGGAGGCAAGGCTGGGGACAGCCAGGACCCACTGAGCTCACCGGACAGGACAGGCCCTGGACTAAAGATTACACACATGAATGGGCTTCTCTGCACACTAAGTCTGTCTTCAGCAAACTCTGCCCCACCACACAGCTCTGGGCTCTAATGTCAGCGTGGTTTGTCCATGTGCCAGTCCTTGGGGAAACAATTGTTTCCTGTGTACAGGCATCCAGCCCACCAACCCAGGCACCACTCCCAATGCCTCAGCCTCAAAGAGGCTCAGGGTTTGCCCTAGGTCCTACAGCTTTATGGGGGAGAGAACTGAGTTCAAGGTAGCCTCACTATTCTGTGCCCCATATCTGTCCCACTGTCTCAAGGTCCCCCACACCCCTTGTTGGGAACTGTTCCCTTCCCTCACAGAGGAAATCTGTTTTGCAGTGACCATGGGTGAGCTGGGCTGGGCTGGCGCATCCTCTGAGGAAACCCCTGAAGCTGGACTAGAGGGGAGGGGAGGACTTCTTTCCAGAAACAGCTCCCTTGAAAACATTTCAAAGAAGTAAGCTCAGCCAGAAAGCTTCAAAAACAACAACAAAAGCAGTCCTGCTTTCTACCCAAATCCAGCTTGCTAAGCCCCCTGGTCCCCAGGGGCTGGAGTAGCCTCCAGTCTGCTGCTGCTGCTAAAAGGCCTTCCTCAGGCTGGGGTGGAGAGGGGCCCTACAGGGGACAGACAGCCTCATTCCCTTCTCCTCATGGGAGGGGAGAACCGACTAATGTTCTTTATCCTAGGAGATTAGTACTTCCTGGCTGGCAGCTAGGGCTGACAGGCTCTGGTGGAACTTTAGGATGAAGCTATGGGTCTCCCCCAGACCCGCCCTTCCCTTCCCGGTGTGGTTCCAGGTGCTTGCTCCTGCCTGCACCCAGCTCTCTTGGAGAGCCTGTCCTCCTGTCCCCTGGTGTACTCACTGTGCTGTGAGCTGCTCTAAGAAGGGCAGGTGAGTCCCTGGGCCCCAGTGTCAGGCAGAACTGCTCAGGTCCCGGTCCAGCAGGTATGGCTCTGGGGTCTCCCTGCTTTATGAAGATCCCTGGTATGATGGGCCCCAGCCTGCCTGATTACTGCGCATTCCTAGCCCTTGGATTCCTTTGGGGCTGCTGGTGGTGAAGGAAGGAGCCCTGTGGGCCACAGGACAAAGAGACACAACGCAAACAGGATGCAGTGTGAGGAGAGTGGTGGGCGTCACCCTTGGAGAGCAGAGCATCATCACAGGTCAGCTGCGAGCTCAGACCCTGGAGGTCCCGAGGGTTGGGGGGAGAGACATGGAGGCCCACTCTTGAGAACCTTCGGGCACTGCCTTGGTCTCTCTCTGGAGACGGTGGGCTTACAGAGGCAGCTTCCTCACTGCTGAGGGAGCTGAGGGCCATGGACACTCAGTCCCTTTTGTAGGCAGGTGTTCTGGTGGGTAATATACCCTTCCTTAGGAGCCTTAGGAGATGTGTAACTGGGCAGGAATTCTCGATTCTGAGGGGTTTAGGGTTTAGAACTCCCGACTAAGCAGGCCCCTCTCGGGCTTCAGCTCCAAGCATACTCAGTCCGTCCCAAGGATAGTGTGTCTGTCTCTCTCACTGTGCGGCCCCATGGCTGGGCTGTACCTGATGCCTGGATATACCTTTTCAGACCTGGCTGCCCATCTGAACATAAAACCACAGGGCCTGCCCTTATGAACATCACAGTACAATCATACCCACCTCCCCAGTGGCTGTCACGGTGGCCAGGGGATGAGGGATCATGTTAGCCAGGTGTGAACCTTGGCAAAGGTGTGGGACAGATAATCATCAAGCCTCCTCCCCCCCCCCCCACTGGCACACACAGTAAGGACAGGGTTGTCTGTCACCACCACCTCTAACCACACACCACGGCTTCTCTTCAGCTGAGTCCACAGCTGGGTGCTGTTCTTACCGGCTGGCATCACCGTAGTGAGTGTGTGTCTACAGGGGCTGTAGACACCTCATCTCCACAGCCCACTCCTTTCACCAGACTCCCTCTGGAAGCTGTCCACGGGTGCTCTGGCCAAGGTGTGGTCACTGGCCATTCCAGGGCCACTATTCAGTGCAGTTCTTCTGGTGACTAATGACAATGGCACCCACACACCCCCAGTTGAGACCTGGATTCAGCAGCTGCATGGTAGGGTGGGACCCTTCCCCCTGAGGCCCACCCGTTCCTCAGCTCAGACTGGGTCCCTCATGCCATGCTGTGCTGCTCAGACTCAGACCGGGAGGCTAGCTCAGATGTTTGCCTTAGTCAAAGGCTTGGCTCTGAGGGCTGGGCACACGCCCAAAGTGCTTTCCAGGCACACGCCTGGGTTCCTGCCTGCATCTATCTCTCTGATCCATGAGCCCTAGCTTCTTCAGCCACTGTTCGCCACGATGAGGGACCGTGCCAGCAGCTGCTGTCCAGGGCAGCGTGGAGGCTGGAGTTGAGGGTATTTATGATGTAACCCAGCAGCAAGGGCCTCAAGGCTTGAGCAAGAAGCAGAGTTACAGGAGGAATTGTGGGGGAGGGGGAGGGGCAGCTTTCCAGAAGGTTCCAAGTCTCCCTAGGTTGCAGTCCCGAAGGCACATGGCTCCATGCAGCCCGTCCAAGCTCCGCTACAGCCTGGCTTCTGGATCCGTCCTTGTTTCTCATGGTGTGGAGGAGGGCTGGATGTGAAAGGGTACATTCCTGACAGGCAGTCTGGGCTGGGCCCTTGCAGGCTCCTGGCTTCCTGAATGATCCCTCCCGGAACAGGACCCAGCTGGGAAGTCCATATGACCTCAGGCAGCCCTGAACCTCTGAAATTGATGATGTCACAACACTCCTCATGTCACGAAGGACACACTACATCCTAAAGATGGCAAGGCCATCAGGGCGCCCCCCCCCCCCCACAAATGTTCACCACCACTCGGGCCTCTCCAGTCTCCCCACAGAACCCTGGGGAGATCTCTTCCCTCAGTACTACACCCTGTAGATGGCTGGTCCTCAAGCCCCTTTATAGATCTAGAGAGTTCTGTGAGATTGGGTTGGTAAGACCCATCCCGCTGGCTCTTGGAGCCACAGCCAGAGCTGCTCATGGCCGCCACATAGGTGGGTGTGCTCGCACAGAAATGGCGGACACAATCACCTTGGATTTCTGAGGGCCTGGCTCAGGAGTCCTGTCCCCAGTCATCTCCCATCTGCCCACCCCACCCCCAACCCGGCCCATCCCTCCAGCCCAGTGACGAATGAGCTGCCTAGAGGATAGGACACAGAATCCTGGGAGAGAGTCTGAGAACTGGTGTCCTGTGGACATGGACTCAGGACACTCCCACAGAACACGAGTGAGGATCCCTCCCCGACTGCCTCCATGGCGGGGTGGGGCCCCGCCCATGTACTTCCTGCAGTGTGGGCACTCAACCAATCCTACCTTTCACAGAATAACTTGAGCTACAAGTTGAAGCATCAATTAGAAATACATGACTGTTAATTAGTCCCTCAGAGTGTCAACTCCTCAGAACCCCAGGACCCATCCCCTGTAGGGGCAGAGTATCACCTCAAAGACACCTGTGGGAGACACAGAGCCAGCCTAGGTGAACCCATGAGGCCCACGCTCCAGGACACAAGCCCGGCTGGATGCATCCTATGCAGAAGGCTAGCCTGACCTTGCCCCATCGCCCAGGCTTGCTTGATTCTGCCTAGCCAGTGACTCCTTGGGAGCGAGCACAAAGCCATCTGGAGACCAGGACAGAGCAGTCCCAGAGCACTGGGTACCTGCCTAGCTCTGCTGTCTCATGGAGTGCGGTGCAGGACTATGGTGAAGGCTGGCGCTGGCTCACCACAAGACTTTATTGAAGACAGGGATATACAAGACACTGAGTGCACGTAGCCCCAAGTGGCAACTGCCCCACACTGTTTGCCCCTGGGGTGCTGCACTGACCCTCAGAGCTCCTCCCCAGCTTATCCTCCAGCATGCACACCGGCCCTGCTCAGCACAGCCTCAGGTCAGACCCCTCCCCCACCCCAAATTCCACAGCAGCCTGACCCCAGGCCTCTGGATTTATGGATCCCAGCAGTTGTGGGGCCATCAGAACCTCGGGCAATGTTCACCAAAGCAGACGAAGGAACTGAGACTCTGAGAGGCCCCGGATGCTTGGGTCTGGGTTTCATCTCACTTCTGGGTTTCATGGGACTTCCGCTGGAATGTCACTTCTCAGATCACAGGGTTCAGGGCAGCCATGGGCCGCCCCTCGCTCGTCCACATCTCCCACCTCAGGATCAAGTCATCTTAGTGCAAGCTGGAAGCTCACACTTGCTCATAGACTTTCTGGTTATCCAAGGCCCTGCTCTCTCCCAGAAGTGCCTGTTGGGGGCCAAGACCTGCAGTGACCATGGCCACAGATGTCCGTTCTCCACCTGGAGGCTTAGGGTAACACGGATGAGGGAGCAGGGAAGAGCCGGGAACTGGTGATGCCACTCCCACCTAGTGTCCCACTCTCAGGAGCCACTAATGCCACAGGGGAGGCTCACAGCTCTAACTGGTCACTCACCAGCCCAGGCTTGCAGGGGACCGAAGGAACTGTCTGCTCCCTGCACGCTGTTGCTGCATGGTGGCCATGCACGACCCAGGTGTAACCAGCTGTGAGGCCTTTGGTGGAATCCACAGTCAGCTTGGACTTGGAAAAAGGTTTCAATGCTTTCCACAGTAGAGACAGCCATAGTGCCAGGCCCCTAGTGTGGGCTGTGGAGGCTCTGCCCAAGAAGGCAAGCCATGTGGCCCTTCCAGGTGACGTCATTGACTCATCCCAGTTAGTCATTCCATTGCCAAACCAAAGCAGGTCTGGAGGGTCAGGGACCACAGGCTGCTGATATTATCAAGCCTCAGCGGACCTGTCCTGCCCCCCTAAAAGCTTCTCCATTCCTGCTTCCTGTGGTCACTCTGATCATGGGTGGCAGCCATTTACACAGACGTCAGAACGAAAGCCAGGGCTGGAGGCTGTGGCCCAGTGTGCAGGGGCAGTGCTCCCACCTGCCCTTGGAGGGTGCACACCAGGAAGGTGAAGGACTGTTGACCTGGTCTCTCCCTACCCGTCCCTGCCTTGTGCCCACGCAGCCAATGTTTGGTAAAACCACACCCTCTAGAGTACGAGCCTGGCCTGGGAGAGGACTTGGTGTCCCTGGGGCAGTGGCTGGGCTGAAGGGCTGTCATTTTCAATGTGACCAGATAGGGGTGCATGTCACCCGTCACCTGTCCACCAGCTGCCCTGGTGGGATGAGCTCCTGCGTCCTGCAGCCCAGCCCTGGCCCGCAGCCCTCCTGTCCCACACTCGATGTCTGAATCCGTTGCTTCACTCAAAGGGGTTTGTTTGACACCACATCAGAAAGCGCTCGTCACTTCCAGTGGCAGCTGGCGACAGAAGCCACTTCAGCACCAGCGTTGGGGGCAGGTGATGTCTGCCAGGATGTGTTTAGGCTCCCACCCACCTCTGCAGTGAAGCTAGGTGCCAGGTGTCGAGGACAGAGAGGGAATGGGAGGGGATTTCCCTGTGTATCCATTGTCCCATCAGAACCTTGGCTACTCTGCCCGTGTTTCTTGTCACCAGCTGGGGACCATAGAAGCAATAACCAGCCTTGTCTAGCACCTCAGACAGCTTTGACTCTCACAGATGTGCTACAGAACCTTGCTGAAGACCCAAGGCCCAATGTGAGGGACTGAGCAGGTCACACAGTTCGTCATTGGGGTCCAGGCTTTGGTACAGGTCTGCCAGAGGCATGGGTCTCTGCCTCCTGACAGAGGAGGTCACCACTGTCATCTTACCATCCAGTCCTTTAAAGCCTGTCAGGTTCCTGTAAGAGCTGCCAAGCAGGAAGCCAAGGGTGGGGCTGCAGCCTGACTTCCTGGGGGATCACCGGTGCGGGTGTTGAGAAGGCTGGACAAGAAAATGTCCAGATGTCCCACCTACTTGATGCTTTGTCTCCTGCCTCCACTTAGGCCCTGATGGCAGTGTCCATGATAGCCAGCAGGGGGCAGGCTCTCTGCAGAGATGGTAGTCTTAGGACGTGCTGAGTCCCAGAGTTGGCTGGCTTCAACTCTCTGGCTTTTGAGAAGATCCTTAGAGTCAGTCCATGGAGGTTGGCAGAACACAAAAGCCTGGCACAGCCTCACCCCAAGAGGTTCTCACTGATTTAGGCCAGTCCCGCCATCGCCCCACAGGCAGGTGACGTGAGGCAGGACCTGTGGTTGCTCTGGACCTTGTTTGAGTGAGAAAGATGAGCTTAGAAAGCAACCTGGAAGAGTAGAAACCCCTCAGGTCTGCGGAGACCCAGGGAAGGGTGGCCTAGGGGATTGGTCTTGGGCTTGGGTCTTTGTAGACAGCTGTGTCCCAGCCCAGTTGGTCGCAAGTGCCGAGCTGTGGCCGCTGTCCTCTAATAAGAGGTAGGGTCTCCTGGCCCTGGGGGACTGGGGTTAGGGCAGGCAGGTGTCAGATGCGAGAAGGTCTGAACCTTCCACATTGATCTGCTAGAGGGGGCCGGAGTGCTGTCTGCCCCCTACTCTGGATGTTTTTGCAAAGCCAGGAAAAGTGGGGGGATGTTGCCCTACCAGGATGCAGCAGACAAAGCAAGGGGACCAAAGCCGTGGCAGGTGGAATTTGGAGTTGCCAGGTGCCAGCTCCACTTATAGGAACAAAAAGATCATGTCACCTGATAAACAGGGACCTGGTTGAGAAGGGATGTCACTGGCTCAGGGAGCTGAGTTTCAGGGCTGCCCTGGGCATCCTTACTAAAGAGCAGGCCAGCCATGCACAGATGGGCAGAGCAAGTTCTTGCGGCAGTGGGCATGGGATGAGATGTGTGGGGACTAGACATAACCGGAAGACACTGGCGCTGAGCGGCGGGCGTGCCAGGCTAGCGGTCCTCACGGACCGGCCGGATCTTCATCTCCGAGAACTTGAGTGAATACTGCCATCCTGTCCAGGAGGACCACTCGACGCCGTCCGCGTAGGAGGCATGTGCGCCACGCAGGTACTGGCCGTTGAGGTTGGACGTGTGGCAGTTACGGTACCACCAGGCTCCTCGGTAGAAGGCGGCACAGTTGTTCTCGGAGTGGTCGCTGTCCCGGTCCTTAGTGGTAAATCTCATGCCACTGTGCTTCAAGAGGGAGTCACCTGCACAGCATGTGCACACAGGGGTGGGCACCTGGCCAGACACCCGGGCAGAAGCATGCACAGGCCCCCGAACACTGTCTGCGAACCACGTGAGTCTGGGTGTTCGAATGTACACACCACCCCTCAAACCTGTGTCCAGGCAGCTCGTCAACCCCATGGCACGCCCAGGCATTCTGGCTGTTCCTGTGTCCAGGCTGTCTCTAAGCTCCTCCCAGATTTCTGACTTGCCCATTCCTTTATCTGAGATGAGCCCAGAGGTCTCAACTTAAAGGCCCCACAGAAGCCAATCCCAGGGATCTCCTGGCTCCAGCTCTGGGCTCAGCTCTTTGATCTGTGAAATGGGCAAACCATCCAGGCTCCATAGTGTTGCAGGAGTGCGGAACCCATGGGACTTGTGACCTAGAGCCTGACCCCAAAGAGCAGAGGGGCTTGACCCGGCAGACCAGCTCCCCCTGCTGCACCGGAACCTCACCTGCAGTGCCAGAGTAGTCAGCCACTGTGAGTGGATACCCATCCTCCTCAGGATCCACAGAGAACAAGCCCACACCAAAGCTCCCGTAGTGGGCATAGGCGGTACCGTTGTCAAAATCCTCTAAGTCCACGTGAAGCTCATATGCTGCTTGTGTGGTCAGGGCGTGGATCCGCTTGAGCCCTGAGGACGGGGGAGGGGAGGAAGATGGATGAAGTCAAGGTATTGGGGGGTGGGATAGGCTCCACCCACCCAAACAGGAGCTGGGGACAACTGCTAAGTGTGTGCTCTGCTCTCTGGGCCACTTCCTTCTCCCTGCAGGCGGGATTTGGGCAAGAAGCTAGAGACTTAGTTGTCATGTCTGATTTTCTGTGTTCGCTTTATGTTTTCTTTCCAAACTTGGTGTTGGCGTCCCATGTACCTGTCAATCTTAGGAGTCTTCTTCCATCCCTCTCCACCTCATTTTTTTGAGGCAGGGTCTCTCACTGAACCTGGGCTCACTGACTCAGCTAGGCTCCCTGGCCAGTGAGCCCCGGGGACCCCGTCCCCGGTCTCTGCCTCCTCAGCACCAGGACACATGGTGCAGGTACATGACGTTGAACCTAGTTTTATTTTATTTTTTAAATTTGGTATGACAATCCACATTAAGGTTGTCTTTATCGACTGAGCTATCTCTGCAACTCCCCAAATGTACGCATTTTGAGGTGACAGATGGTCGGAATTTGCAATTCAGATGGGTGGTAGCACAGGTGTCTAAACCCGGCCTCTGAGCCTTTGTGTGCTTTTTCTCTGCCTGTCCTTTATCGGCCTGTTGCCTTTCTGTTTAGCCTTGGGAAGATGGCTGATCTCCCATGCTGACCCAGGGACCTCCTTCTTAGCGTTCATCAGTCTGGTTCTCCCTGGGTCCTTGTGAATTTCCCAGTCAGCTGACTTCCCCAAGCACAACTCTACAGTCAGTGTTTACTGCGACCCCAGTGGGCACAGCGGGACCAGGTATGGCAAGTGCTCCATACATACTTCCCAGTTCGTAGAGCCCAGGCAGGGCCTGTATCTCCTGTGATCCCCAGGCCTGGCTCTGCACACCCCTGCCACCTAACCCCTTCCTCTCTCCCACTCTCTTGCTCTCTGGCCCTTGGTCCATCCCAGGGTCTCACACAAACAAGGCACTTCCCTGCCATCAGGATCAACCCTTGATTAAGACGGCATTTAATGAAACGACTCGCAGGTTCACATGCCTATGGAGTCCCATCAGACCCTCCCCACAGGCTAGCATCGTGTGTACAAGAGCTTTGCTGACCCTCCCTGCTCAGCCCTAGTGTTCTCTGCCAGGCAATCAGCAGATCATCCCAGGATCCCTGTCCCCCCTTCACCCCGACTCAGAGCTGCTGACCTGAGCTCAGTCCTGACACCTGGATGCTGTGGGGTTCGTCCAAGAGCAGCCCATCCCAGTATATCTCACCTCCCTCTCTGGCCTGTTCTCCCAGGGCTGGTGTCATCAAGGCAAGCTACTCTCCCCTCTTTGGGTGTGGCTTGCACACCTGTGCAGGGCTGATAGACAGATGCTCAAGCAGCATGTGACAATGACCACAGCCCGCACCTGGAAGCCAGGTACCAGTCTAAGCACCTCCTGTATAGTGACCAATCAGGCAGCATCAGATCGTGATTAATTACAGAGCCTCAGCACAGCCCATGACCGAGCCACCACTGCATTCGGCCCAGAACTAGCTGCTGCTGGGCAACGACACAAAGCAGTGGGCACAACAATGCCCCATTGTACGAGTGGGAGAAGGAAGGCTCAGAGGGGTGCAGTCATACGGCCAGATCACACAGCTGGCAAGCAGCAGAGCTGGGATTTGAACCCAGGCAGAAAGGCCTAGACCCCCACTCTTCTTCAGGCCTTAGCTGGGGCGGATTGCATTTCCCAGGTATAGTGTATGATGGAGACAGCCCCAAGGGATGCTGAGAGACGCTCTTTCCCATCACTACACGGTCATTGGGATCCAAAGACCTACAGTCAGCATGCCACTGTTGGGGTTAACAGTCCTGAGCTCCACGTGCACCTTGCTGGTCCCTTGCACTGGAGCTGGAGAGATGGCTCAGTGGGTAAAAGTGTTTGCTGCCAAGCCTGATGACCTGAGTTTAGTCCTCAACACAGTGGAAAGAACTAACTTTCCTAAGTTGTCTCTGATCTCCACACACATGCCCCCCCCACAATAAATGACAACAAATAAAATTATATTAAAAATACAAAAAACAAGGGCCTGGAGAGATGGCTCAGCAGTTAAGACCACTGTCTGCTGTTCCAGAGGTCCTAAGTTCAATTCCCAGCAACCACATAGTGGCTCATAACCATCTGTAATGGGATCTGATGCCCTCTTCTGGTGTGTCTGAAGACAGCGGCAGTGTTCTCACATATATAAAAATAAAATAAATAAATAATTCCAAAAAGTACCTCTCCCCCATACACAAAATAACAAATAAATGAAATTTAAAAGCATGGTAAATAGTGCCTGAGGAATGACAGACACCTGAGGTCAACCTCTGGCACTCATGCGCTCTCTCTCTCTCTCTCACACACACACACACACACACACTTTCTCTCACACACACATTCTTTCTCTCTCTCTTTCTCTCTCTCTCACACACACACTTTCTCTCACACACATTCTTTTTCTCTCTCACACACACACACTCACACTCTCTCTCACACACACATACACACACTCACTCACACAAACTTATGCACGACTACCTGGATCCATATCACCCCACATACACATAGAAAAATTAAAACTTGAGGAAACAAGCAATAGTGGGAAAAAGCCGAGAGGTAAATTAATGAAAGCAGGCATGTGTGGTGACTACCTGTAGCCGTTGTATATGAAGAGTGTCTGTAAGTCAACAGAAACAGAGGAAGCCCTCAGTGAGAGGGTGCTGGAGGGGTAGGCAAGCAGAGGTGATGCCACAGGGATGCTGAGGGCTTCCGGGTTGACATTCTTGTCAGGGCTTCTCGTCTGCAGAGCTAATCAAGGCCCTGCTTAAATGCTTCCTCCCGCCTTCTACAGCTGCTGATAGATTTCAATTAAGATGGCACGGAGCATCGAGCAGCAAGCCACCAACCCTGCTCAAAGCTTATGGGTGGGAAGCGGGGACAGCCTCTAACTGGCCACCACCACTTCCTCCTTCACCTCAGGTGGGTGAGGAGAAATGTCCCACCCACCCATTTGCTGTCCCTCCTAAAATGTCATCAAAGCAAGCCACGTTCCTTCCCATGGAGCTGCCTGGGCTTCTACATCCAGCATATGTGATGGGACTTGTGGCCTCAGCTTTGTCATCTGTAGAAAGGGGGTGATGGGACAGGGCCACCTTCCTGGCTGGTGTGAGGCCCCAGGGGCTGATATGTGACATTTAAATGCCCCCCCCCGCAATGAGCTCACAGCAAACTCTGACCGTGGTCCCAATGGTGTGTAGCCTCCCCTATGGAAAGTCCCCATCTGGACACCAGGATGTAGTCAGCGTGCTGGTACCTTATGGGCATCTGCCTCCGACTTGTCATGGGGCCTGCCTTCCACTCACCCACAGGTGCAATGAAAGTCTCTTCTCACCAGGGAGCCACCTAACAACTAACGCCACCCAGTACTCACGCCCAGGATTCTACCCCTCAGGAGGTGCATGGACTGGCCACTCACTGGGGGCTCCACTTAGCATCCTATGGTCAGTGCTGGCCTGGAGGGCAGGGAAACTCCCCAGAGTATCCCGGTCCTCCTGATGCCTGAGATGGGGTCCCCGCACTCACCATGGCTGGAGTGACACAGGACTGTAGAGGGCTCCTAGGCAGTCCCCAAACAGGACTATGCTTCCTGCTTCAGAACTAGAGGGTTACTGGGACAAGCCCTCCCTACACAAGTCCCAAGAACTGAAGAACAGTGGTCTGGGGGCGAGTACCTTTGCCCACTGAGTCTGCTGTATTATTATTGTTGTCGCTTTTGAGACAGGGTCTTAATATGCACTGTCTGGTCTGGAAATCCAAAGCACACCAGGCTGGACTCAAACTTGTAGCAATCTTCCTGCCTCAGTCTCTCTGGTGCTGGGGTTACAAGTGTGAACCATCTTGTGTAGCTTTTTGTTTTTATTTTTTTCTTGCTGGTCTTGAACAACAGAGCTCAGTCTGGCCTTAAACTATATAGCCTGGCTGGCCTGCAACTGGGGTTCTTCTGCTCCCTGGGTGCAGAAGGTGCCCATCTCACCCAGCTTTCCCTGTCACACTGAACATTGCACATCCATGGGACCTATGTACAATGGTCTCCTGTTGGTTCTACTCTCAAGCTCACTTGACCCTCCTTAGTTACCTCCCACACACCAGTGAATGGCCTCAGAGAATAGAGTGGAATCCGTTTAAAGACAGACAAGGACCAGGCAGAGTATGAAGTCCCCAGGGTGCGGAAGCTTACCCAGCCAGTGCTCTCCTGTGAGCTTGCCGAAGCCCTCCCGGTAAGCCTCCCAGCCTCGGAAAAAGTTCACAGAGCCATCCTCCCGGCGCTGAAACACCTGCAAGGGCAAAGGAGGTACAGCATTGGCACCAGTGGCATAAGGAGCCCAGACCCTTGACTCTCACCCTTCCTCACGGGCTTTCCTGCCAGCCTGAGACACGGGGATAGGCTGGGACAGGGGACTGGCCACCCCCTTCTCTCAAGAGCTCCTTCCTGGCTCTGGGACCTGGAGTCTCAGAGGCTCATAGTGACCAGAGGCAGGTCTGACTAACCCACCACAGACCCCTGGAATGTCCCCACAAGGAGGAGTCGCCACAGGCAGGAACCTCAGCTCCCAGGTTCACTTCTGCTGTGGGTGAGGGGCTGAGCCTTTCCTGGTTCTCACCAGGAAGCTGTGGCCCAGCTGACACAGTGCTGGCAAGCCATAGGTGAGCTCTCTGAGTTCTGTTGGCCCGAGCCAGGCACGGTGGCTTGGCACTAGGAGATAGAGGCGGGAACAGCAGAAGATCAAAGTTATCTGTGGCTACACTGAAAATCCAAGGGCAAGAGTTTCATGAAATGCTGTCTCAAATGAAAGAGACGAAGTTAAAAACAGAGGGAGAGCGAGGAAAGGAGGGGGAGGGAGGGGAGGGACGGAAGGGAGAAGGAGAGAGGGAGGGATGGGGGAGACAGGGAGGGTGGAAGAAGACAGAAAGGGCCAGGGAGACCGAGAGTGGAGGAGGGAAGGAGAGGGGCATATGCCTGACGTTTTTATTGGAGTTGTAGGTTTTGTTTCTGAGACAGGGTCTCCCCCTGTACTCATCTATCTGGAACTCACTACGCAGCCCATGACAATCCTCCTGCCTCAGTCTCCCAAATGCTAGAATTACAGGGGTACACCATACTATGCAGTCCATTCTCAAGTTTTTAAGCAACTTCTCACCTTAACCTTGACCCCCAGATCCCCACCTCCCACCCAGCTCCGCTCCACAAATCACACACTTCCGGCAGGATCCAGGGGGTGTGGCCTGGGAACCCTGAATCCAAGCCACCCCTCGAGGGAGGCGCATCAGCCCAGAGCAGGCTTCGGTGTGACTCGGTTACCAACGAGCCGCTGAGCCGTCAGAGCCGCCTCTGTTCTTTTTAATAACATTCTCGATTTGGGAGTCTGAAGTCCCCTTGGTTAAATTGCCTTGAAATAAGGACGGTGCTGGTCCCGGCCGAGCTGACGAGTATTTACTCGATCGCTGACAGTCCCGTTCTGGGGCCGCCTGGCCCACGCCGCCTTTCTGTTTAACAAGCCTTTTCCTGCTCATTTGCAGAGGCAGCGCCCACCTGCCTCCATCTGTGTCTGTGTCTGATGTCAGAGCTCTGGCTGCCACTTTCATTACTAAGCAGCCTGGTTCCGGCAGCTCGGAACCGCCTGGGTGCCCGGGCAGAGCATCGGCGTCTGCTCTCGAGATGCGCCAGGTCCCCAGGGACATGTCAGTCACAGACAGTTGGGCAGCTCTGACGTCACATGCTAGAGGGAAGATGACACTTTTTTTTTTCCTGCTTCCCTCGACCTGGTCCTGCCCTGAAATATCAAGTCCTCAGGAGGGACTCGCTGGGTGGAAGGAAGTTCGATAAGGCTTGGGGAGATCTGAGCGGTGTGGAGAGCCGTATTGACTGCTGCACATTGGGACCCTGAGCACGCGCCCTTTGAAAGGCTTAATCCTGGCAGAAGCTTAGGCCCTCCCAAAGGCAAGGCGAAGGCGGCAGACAGGCTGAGCCTGCTTCTGCTGGAAGAGGAGGAGGAGATCTGCAGGACCAGGAGTCTGGAAGTCCCCACCTCCCCATCCCCCGTAGGCCAACTCCCACTGGAGGCCCTAGGGCCCCCTTCCCCGGGGGACCTAGCCCCGTCAAATGGGGGAGTTGGGTGCTAAGGGCCTAGACTACAGAGCCTACAGATGCACAGATCTCCTCACCTCTCCAGACCTGTTTTGTCATCTGTGAAAGACCACAGGCAGTCAGGATCCTGCAGTGGGTGTGCAGTCAGTACTGGCTAGGCAGATAAACACCAGCTTAGCAGGGCTGGCCTGTCTCCTTTGCTCTCCTCCCCTTGTTACACCTCCCCCCTTCCAAATGGCAGCTCTACACACCTCATCCCAGGGTTCTCATGCTACCAGCCTCTTTCAGGCATACGGTCCCATCCAGTCTTTCTGGGGAAACTAAGTCCAAGGCACAAACAAGATCCAGACTGCCCTCAGGGATCTAAGGCCAAGAAAACACAGAAGGGCCGGTGTGCAGGGGATTCTACACCACACACACACACACACACACACACACACACACACACACACACGGACACAGCAGATCTAGGGCAGACAAAAAAATAATAGGCCTGCACAGAGAAATGCAGCTTCCTAGGGGAGAGGGAACCCCGACCCCACACTGGCCTGCTATATAACTCAGCTCTGCCCTTCTTCCTCAACTCTGACAATGGGCTCTGCATTCCAGGACCTCCACAAAGAAACCCTTCTAGTGTCTTGCCTAGTGAAAAATAGGGTGCCAGGCCTCCAATCCCCCATGGGAATGAAACTTGTGGAGACCAGACAGGGCCAGCACCTCCCACAGACAGCCGGGCCCAGTGCAGGCTGCAGGCAGGGAAGCTGAATGCATGGGAGGGGGGGTGTCTAGCTGTGCTCCTCATGAAAGGTTGAGGGACAAAAGGGACACTCAAGTTTCTGGACGGAGCCTCCCAAGTCTGCAACCCATCCCTGAAGAGCTCAGAGCCCAGCCTGCTCTTCAGATGCACTGCAAGGGCCCCGTGGTCCCAAGCTGTAGTTCCTGGAAGTTGACCTGGTCCTGCCTTCCCCTAACCCTAAAGGGCACAGTAAAGCACATCCAAGCCAGGAGGGCAGAGCAGCAGACAGATGGTGCCCAGCCCATGACTTCCCTCTGCAGCACCCGCTGTTCACATCCCTCCTCCGGCACAGATGGGCCCTGTGCTGCTGTGTGTTACGGCAGATAGAGCTGGGACAGTGGCAAGGCAGCCAGCACACGCTCAGCCGCTACGCCACTGCTGATGCAGCTGCTATTAACCACCATACTGTCCCCACTGCACTGTGGACTCCACCTGAATGGTCACCTGTGGCAGACACACACCCCTGTGCCCACCAGGGCTTCTTGCTTCTTTTCTACCCAGCAAAGTGACACCAAAATTAAGAATGGCCAACAATTGTGTTAGACTGTTAGATCTGGCCCTGAAGAAACCAAAATGCTGGCCTTGGGAGATAGATCAGTTCAAAACTGCTTGCCGTGTGCAAGCACAGTGCCTGAGTCAAAACCCTCAGACCCCTGTGGAAAACTGTAGGTGGCTGTCTGTACCTTTAATCTCTGCACTAGAGGACAGAGACAGGTGGATCCCACCCAGCCCAGGAAAAATGACGAGCTTCTGGTTCAGTGAGCAATCACATCTTGAGGCAATAATGTGGAAAGCAACAGAGGAAGGCAGGCAGTGTCCTCCTCTGGTGTCAGCATCACAAGCATAGAGCACACACCCACATCCATGTGAATGGACCGTGCACTTGTACACACGTCCGTGTGAATACACTGTGTGCCTATAGACACATTCATGTCAATGCACTGTGAACACACTGTGCTCCGAGCATAAGGACACACAGTGGGGAGGCAGGGACAGTGGATCCCTGGGGCTTGCTGGCCAATCTTTCCTACTTGGCAAGCCTGCTGACACTCTCTCAAATTTAAAAAAAAAAAAAAAAAAGGTATATATATATTGGGCATGCTTTTAATCCCAGCACAGAGGCAGAGGCAGGCAGATCTCTGAGTTCAAGGCCAACCGCTACTCATAGCTTGAAGAACAGCATCAAACATTATTCTCTGGCCTCCACATGCACACGCGCGTGCGTGGGCACACACACACACACACACACAGAAACCCCAGCATTTGCCAACATGGACATTGCAGTTGGGCTAAGACACACTTTGAGATCTTTGGACCAGAGCTCAGGCTCAGAGAAGTGCACGTCCCACCCCCACACACAGACGCACAGTTTACATCGGAAACAGCGGCGGCAGGAAATAAGCAGGCTGCGCCATTTCCTACTGTGTCCTCTTCTGCTCTACTCTATCCGATTTAAAAAAGCAACGTTGATCGCAACCCAGGAAATTGATTTCGCCACCTGCCAATGGATCCAGGCCCACAGTTTTAAGAACTGTTGCCGTCAGATTCCTGGTGTCTGCCGTAGGCCATGCTAGTCACAGGTCGAATATCGAATGACTGGGCGTCCCTGCACACACGCTGGTACCCACGGTGGCACAATGTGTGGCCTGACAAATTCTGAGAGGTCCACATGCTCCAGCTAGCCAGATGGACAAGACCAGGGTGCTGGGCACATGGGTGTGTTTCAACTCCGAGGCCCAAGGCAAACTGCAGCTTTGGAGTTCTGAAGATCAGCTGGATTTTAGTAACAACGACAGGATTGCAGACTTAATTAGAGAGCAAGGTTCAGCTGGACAGGAGGTTGCCAGCCACAGGCCTGGAGTGTCTACATCTCCTCCTTCAGCCCCAGGCTTCCCAGGTAGGCAAAGGCTGAGGATGCCAAGGCCAGAGCAAAGTAGTTATTGATCAACCCTGAGCCTGTAGTAGGTGTTGGCCCAGCTCTTGAGCTTTGCTTGGCTTCCGGCTGGAAGGCAACAGAGACACACTCACTGACGCCGAGGCCTCCTGGGCCGGAGCCATGAGTGGGAAGAGAGACAGCATGTGTTTTCTTGGTTCTGATTCTTAAAACCCAGTCTCCTGCTGCCACTAGCTCAGCTTAGAAGTACTACCCGGGGGGGCTAGGCCAAGGAAGTGTGTGGTTCACATGGTCCTGCAGACAGTACTGAGCAGTTTCAAAGGACAACCAAGACTGCACTTGGGGTAGCTGATTGTCCTGAGAGTGTCAGCAGAGCCAGAGGGCCACATGGACACCTGGTACCTCCCCAGCCTCCTTCTCCACGAGTCTAGGCCTGGTGGAGTGTCCACTGCAGAATAACCCTGCCCGGGCCACTCCATGTCTGCAATAGTACTGAGCT